CCACCTTAAATTTACGCTCACTGCCACACAATAGCCTGCCTATGCCCCTGACAGGGGAGTGTCCCATAACAATAATTCTAGTAAATCTTGTCAAATGCTCCCTAACATAAGAATGGTTCCAATTATCCAACAACTGATTGGTCCTTCCATTTTTCTCAGAGAGATTATCCCCTTCAACTGTTCCAAAAACTGAATATCTATTTGATAGAGGAATAGCCACTGGAGAATTTTGAACTCCCTCTTACCTTTCCTAACAGTCACCCATCTATCTGACTGATCCTGCTGGGTAATAATTTTTCTAAATCTACTAGCCATCTCACTCTGCACCTTATATATTGCCTTAATAACATTAAGCCTAAAAAGAAAGGATTCTTTAAAGTTGCGTCACATACAGACAAGATGGTCAAAAAGGCACTTGAATCAGAGATAGTAGGAACTGCAGATGCTGGAGAATCTGAGACAACAAGGTGCAGGGCTGGATGAACACAGCAGGCCAAGCAGCATCATAGGAGCAGAGAAGTTGACGTTTCGGGCCCAGACCCTTCATCAGAAAAGGGGGAGGGGAAGGGGGTTCTGAAATAAATAGGGAGAGAGTGGGAGGCAGACAGAAGAGGGATAGAGGAGAGGATAGGTGGAGAGGAAACAAACAGGTCGAAGAGGCGGGGATGGAGCCAGTAAAGGTGAGTGTAGGAAGGGAGTGAGGAAGGGGATAGGTCAGTCCAGGGAGGACGGACAGGTCAAGGGGGCGGGATGAGGTTGGTCAGTAGGAGATGGAGGTGCGGCTTGAGGTGGGAGGAGGGGATAGGTGGGAGGAAGAACAGGTTAGGGAGGCAGGGACGAGCTGGACTGGTTTTGGGATGCGGTAGGGGGAGGGGAGATTTTGAAACTTGCGAAATCCACATTGATACCATTGGGCTGCAGGGTTCCCAAGCAGAATATGAGTTGCTTTTCCTGCAACCTTCGGGTGGCATCGTTGTGGCACTGCAGGAGGCCCAGGATGGATATGTCGTCTGAGGAATGGGAGGGGGAGTTGAAATGGTTCGCGACTGGGAGGTGCAGTTGTTTATTGCGCACCGAGCGTAGGTGTTCTGCAAAGTGGTCCCCGAGCCTCCGCTTGGTTTCCCCGATGTAGAGGAAGCCACACCGGGTACAGCGGATGCAGTATACCACATTAGCAGATGTGCAGGTGAACATCTGCTTGATGTGGAAAGTCTTCTTGGGGCCTGGGATGGGGGTGAGGGAGGAGGTATGGGGGCAGGTGTAGCACTTCCTGCGGTTGCATGGAAAAGTGCTGGGTGTGGTGGAGCTGGAGGGGAGTGTGGAGCGGACAAGGGAGTCACGGAGAGAGTTGTCCCTCCGGAAAGCAGATAAGGGTGGGGAGGGAAAGATGTCTTTGGTGGTGGGGTCGGATTGCAGATGGCGGAAGTGTCAGAGGATGATGCGTTGGATCCGGAGGTTGGTGGGGTGGTACGTGAGGACGAGGGGGATTATTTTTTGGTTCTTATTGCGTGGACGGGGTGTGAGGGATGAGGTGCGGGAGATGTGGGAGACACGGTTGAGGGCGTTCTCGACCACCGAGGGGGGGACGTTACGGTCCTTGAAAACCGTACCTGCACCGGCCCTAAACCCCACCTCTTCCTCCGTTACATTGATGACTGTATCGGCGCCGCCTCGTGCTCCCACGAGGAACTCGAACAGTTCATCCACTTCACTAACACCTTCCACCCCAACCTTAAGTTTACCTGGACCATCTCTAACACCTCTCTCCCCTTCCTGGACCTCTCTGTCTCCATATCGGGCAACCACCTGGAAACCGATATTCATTTCAAGCCCACCGACTCCCACAGCTACCTAGAATACTCCTCCTCCCACCCACCTTCCTGCAAAAATGCTATCCCCTATTCCCAATTCCTTCGCCTCCGCCGCATCTGCTCGCAGGATGAGGCATTCCACTCCCGTACATCTCAGTTGTC